CCAAGTATTAGACCAAACCTAACCTTCATCAGCAGTGTAATCTAATGGTGTGGTTCTGTAGCTGATTTAAATCGGTACTGCACTGGTTTGCTCTCTTCTCCGCCCTGCAGCTGTGTGCTCTTGTTATGTGCTGCTTCTGGTGCTCACCTCTCCCTTCACTTGTTCAATACAGCTTGCTAAACTAGCAGAAAACTGTCTTGGCAAAAGGTAACAATTTATTTTTTTTTCTTGGCTTAGAGAGCTGAATGAGGTCAGCAAGGTGGCAGTGCCAAACTGGGGTGGAAGCATCTCTTGTGTGGACAGGTGTGATTCCACAAGATGGGTGAGCCACCCTAATAGCTCACCGCTGCTGGGAAAAGTGTTCCCAGAAGTGGTGTGGTACCACCCTTCTGGATGGTGGACTTGGCCAGCCTGTATAGTCACAGCTTTCCATATGGAGATTCCCAGAGGATTCCCAGTTGTAGGCCTCGGTGACTTGTCCAAGATTACAAAGACAGATGGTGGCAGAGCCAAAATCCCAAACTAATTGCAGAGGGATTGAACCTCATTCCTTTCTGTAGTTTAAATCAAAGTTTTATTTTGATTAACAGAGAAGCCAAAAAGGAACTCTACGCACCTCAGAATAAAGGTACTTGGAAAGTGACATCCTGGTCTAAGAGCTCTTCTTCCAAGCACCTTTTGTTTGGGTTAACGTGCAACAGTAAACCACAAAACAGACTTTTAGCTGGTGGGAAGGGATGCAGTTCCGCTGAACTTCCACTGGGCTCCTCTGCTGTTACAGTCAACAGCAGTGCCAATTAAATGCTTCCTAGTCTGAACGAAGCTAGTTTCCAGTTGAGATCCCAGCCTGTAGACTCGGTATTGTTTTTGTCCAGAGGTCTGTATTACCAAAACTGACAGGTGTCACGGGGGTTACTCTGTTCTTAGTACTATTTTGAATTTAAAAAAATTCTGAAATATTAAAAATATCTGAGAAGAAAATGTGTTTCTAAGATATTGGAAATCCTGTTACGTGGCACAGTTCTGTTTTCCAGGCAGTCCAGATGATAGGTTATGGATGATACTGAAGCTCAGAATTATAGAATGACTATTGTGTTAGGCTTATACAACGCATACAGTGCCCTCTGGTTGAAGCAAGTTTCTTTTCCTATTCATGTTTGTTTTGCGCCTAAGTGAAACAAATCTTAGTTTTATAAATTCTCTCTATATAAATGTTTCTCTATTTTTTGAAGTGTTCATGAAAAATGTGACAAGATGTCCACCGAGGTCACAAATGTAAGCATAAATAGCTGCAATTTAACATCAGTAGTTAGCAAACAAGATACCCTCGAGGTAAGGAGGCTGGTAAAAAGAGGGCAGAGATGTATTAAAGATGCATTATTTGGGGGTCTATGGATATAATTTAGGCTTCACAACAAGGTCAGACTGATTTAATTCTCTCTGCAAAGGTCAGTCTGAGGCCTGGCTGTACTAACCTCTGTGCTCTCCATCTGTCTGCACTCCAAGCCAGACACTTTCAATAGGTGATTGTGTGTTCATGACTGGATACAAACACATTGAAATTACCTCCAGGTCTAGGCCTCCGAAAGTGTTTACTTGGAGCCACTGCTGACCCTGGAGTAGTTGATACCTACGGAACTTTATATGTGGCTGCTGCTTGGAAGTGTTGCGAAGAACATCCGATATTCGCGATTTCCTAATGTTGCAAGTGCCAATGAGTATTCAGCTTTATAAATGCGTCACTGTAGTGTCATAAACTTTTTATGCAAGTTTATTCTATGACCCTTGAAACATATTTGGGTTTTTTTTTCCAGCACTGGCAAAAGTATAATAAAGGGAAAAAAAACCCAAACCCTTACAGTATTCAATTTCTCCAAAATGAGGAAAAATGAAGAAACCAGTGTTTGTGGACATCTTTATTTGATAGTCTAGGTCTTTTAAAAATCTTCCTCCATAAGCAGGGAATTCTTTAAAAATAATTGACAGGGCAAAATAAATATGCAATGTGCTCATATCTGTTAGTCATTTTCCTGCTGCTTTTTTCACTTCGTGCTAAACATTTCTGAATTCTCTTTTCATTTTAAGTAGGAAATGGGTTTATTAATCTGAATGCAACAACTAGAGAAAATGAGGCTAGTGAATGCTTTGAGCTTTCAATAAATATTTAGCTCACTGAAATAGCCACACACAGCAAATGGCACTTGCTTTCATGAAAAAAGACCTTCAAGTTTAGTGGAAGACACACTTAATTTTAAAAAGAGTAAGAGACCTAATTTTTACCTGCATGATTTGAACTAGAAGGAGGTTATGAATTGATACTGCTTTCAGTTCAGGTGGAGGGTATAAAAGTAAAATTACATAAAATGGCATGAAATAATTGAATATATTATACTAAAAACCAAAACCAACAAAAAAAGGCTCCACACAGTGCTCTCTCTTTCTGAGGTACTATAAGTCTTCCTTGGGTACAGTGCTTATATACACCTAGTTTCAGTAATTATTTTACATTCATACAGTAAACAGTTTCAAAAGTAAAAAAAATGGGGATCAGTTCTTGAACCAACAAAATCCAAATCAAAGAATTCAGAGCTCAGGATGCAGCTCTCCACAGAGTATATCGTCTTGTGTTGTCTCAAGCCTGCCTACTGTAAAATCACTTAAAAAGGGACAACTGCAAGAACAATAATACAGATCATAACAAAGTAATTTTAAGACAAATTTTCAGATTTCTGCCTGTATTTCTCAGTTTAAATAATAGCCCTGGTAAAAAAAAAAAGTATTTAGCATTTAAGATCAGAATTTGTTTATCAGGTATCTTACAAAATCAGCTATTAATCTTGTGCGTGAAGTGTGCTGATCTTGAGGCTGTTTCAGTGACCTTGCTGAAGGCAGGGAGAGAGTTTGTGCAGAGACCACAAAAAGATTTAGGAAAGTGATACAGTGTAGAACCCTATTTTTTTTAGAATATTTGATGCCTGACCCCACACACCCATGCAAAACTTCCGTTTACTTTCTAAGAGACCGTGCTGGTGGCCAGCTCACATTTTCACTAGGTTCAAGGGTTGCTGGAACACCTCTTCTTTTGCAAAGTGTGCTTGGATCAGCCATGGGTAATTGCTGGGGAGTGACACAAGGAGTCACCCCCGGTGAGGTGAACACACAGCCTCTGTGGGGTCCTGTCTCCTGCTGGCTTGAAGGAGCTGGTATGTCAGCTTGGGTTCTTTTCACTGAGTGGGTGTTTTTAGTGTAATTACTATTTGGTATTGTTGTCTAGCTACAGGAGTATTAAGGTATTCATTACCCCAACTGTTTGCTTTAAAATACTTTGCAGGTGAGTTTTTATTGCTCAGGAATGGTGCCAAATGGACAGTCCTGAGGAACAAAGTCCTCGCACTATCTGCAGAACAGGTATGGAAGCAGTGGCACATTAAGTTTTCCTCCTCTCCCTCTGCTACCAGCCTTATCTCAGGAAGGACAAGCTCAGGAGGAAGAGGGCACCCCAGAGCCTGTGTCTCTTGAGGAAAACCAACATCAGAGTTACCTGTTAAGGTGGCGGATTTGAAGACACACTTGATACACCTCTATGGGGCTTTCCCAGAGGCTATTTGGGATCAGGCTCTTGGCAATTTCTTAAATCATTCTTCCTAGAAGTGGAGGCAATTTTTGGAGCAGCTGCTGTCTATTGCATGAATCCACACCAAACAGGCTTTACAAATGTTTCTGACTCCAGCACCTAGAGCTTTAATACACCTTTTTGAATCAGTTCTATCCCTTCAGTTAGGAGAGGGGTGCAGTTTCCAACAGAGACTGAGCACTGGTGAGGAGCTGGTAATGTCCATCCTTGTGTCAATACTTCAGCAGAACAAAATAACTTGTTGTGCGTCATTCCTTAATGACAGTCCCTGTGCTTTGTTTGCATCTCAGTCGCATGCTGCTTATCAGATGTCTACTGTGGACTGCTTTGTAACACAGAGGTACTGTTCTACATGCTTTCCATCCCAAAGTCTGGGTGGCTTCTTGCCTTCCTGAAAAAGCCACCAGCCCTGTCAGCTCTCAGGAGATGCGCTCATCTACCTGGCTGACACACTCTTTTCCAGAAAGCTTTTGTTCAGGTCTAGGCCTTAGGCTAGAATAGCTTAGGTTTAGAATGGAAACACCGTCAAACCCTTAATATGACCATATTGGGAACTTCCACCATAGGGTGGTGTTCTGCTGTGGCAACTTCTTAATTGGGGAAGGACCAGTTGAAGCACAGCACTGATTCTTGTGCTTTTCTTATGTTCTACACACTCGAAAAGCAAAGCAAAGTCTGGGAGTCTCATAAAAGCATACTTTTTTTTTTTTTAGCATAACAGGGAGTTCTGAGCTGGCCTCACATCGCACTCTTAGGGGCTGTAGGAGTTTAAGGGTTCAAGCTTACCTCTCATCTTAAAGTATGCATTTTGCCCTTTGAAACAGAAAATCTTATGCCAGAAAAATGGGCAGCTACTTTTTGATTGTGCAGTCGTAGCATTTTTCATGTGTGAGACATGACATGCTCTGTCAAGCCATTGTATTCAAACTTCCCCTAATATATTTCATTTTTATTAGCGACGAAGGACAGGTGATTTGAATCTTAATACTACAGCGTGATCTGTATGTGAGGTGTAGAACACCTAGGCGTGTGCTATGATACAGCTATTGCAGCGAGCTCAAGCTTTGCATGTAAATCTCAAGGCGGTTTGCTGTGCCCAGCCCTACTAGGGGCATTGGCGGAAATTAAAATGTTGGGGGTGCAGGCAACTTTTATGCCATTGTATTTCCATTTTCTGTTGTTAAATTTTCAATTCTCCTCTTCCCTTACTGCGTATTTATACTCCTGACAATTTCTAAGGGAGCAGAAAAGCTGCTCCTTGTGTTGTTATTACTTTTAAGCAGTGCTTTTGAGAAGTCAGTCTTTCGGGAAGGAGAAAGCATCAGGCATTAGGCAGATGAAGACAATTTCTGCATTGCAGAATTACCATCTAACACGTGCTTGTCCTGTGGGATGGAACCGTAACAATTCACAGCTCTCCTGTCCTCGTGCTCCTTGCGAAACTCGCTCTAAGTCAAGATCTTCCAGTTCATGTCCTCCACGTGCCCGAACCTGGCTGTTTGGTTTGAAGGGCTCCCTGCACTCCAGAAACGCTCTCCCTTCCGATCTGTAGCTGGTAGGAGCAGAGTGTTTAGGGCAGGTTAGCTGAGCTGCTGCTAGGCAAGAATAAACAGGTTAAAAAAAGTCTGGGTTCCCAGGTGCATAAAGCTGAAGGACAGCAAAGAAATAACTCCAGCTAAGTAGGAGAAAAAAAAAAAAACAAAAAACTTTGTTCTTTCTGTTTGTGTGGTGAGAGGCAGCTGCCAGTACGGATGGTTTCCCTAAGTGCTCGTAGGGGGTCCTGCTCCCGGTGTAGGCCAGGGCAGGCACTGCCCTGCTGTGGGGCCTTTATCCGGGGATGGGCAGAGGCCTCCCTGCGCCCTGAGCTGATTTCAGAGCGTGGACGGCACTAGGGGAGGTCACAGAGTTTGCAGGCACTGGAGGAATGTGCTTTCAGCATTGGCAAAGCTCGATACCAGAGGAAGCAGTCCCCTTCGGTTCCTTGTTTTTTCTCTGCAAAAAAGGGGCAGGGGCAGAGAGAGGACAAAGATGAATTTCTCTTTCAAGGGATACTAGTGATGCAAAGTGCTACATAAAAGCTGCATAACATAAACCCTTCCCTCTTCCCCTCCCATACAGAGAACCAGAACAAGTTATATACGCTGCTTTACCTTTGGCATCTGAAGGCATGCATAGATGTCAGGGTAGGTCTCTATCAAGGACAGTTTCCAGAGTACAGTGTGGGAAGCGGCATCAAACTTTTAATCCCTGAAATTAAAAAGGACCTCTTGTTTAATAGGGGGGGGGAAACTTTGAGACATTTGCAGATAATTAAAAAAAATAGCATATAACAGTGTGAACAAAGTCCTGAGCTGAAGTGTGATGAACTGTACAAACACCTTTCGTACTGCTAGAAGTTTATAGTGTTCTGGACTGTTGTTTATGTTACTATAAAAAAAGGTGAGAAAATATATTCAGTTACTTTGTTTCCCCCCATTGAGCAGATGGCAATTCATAGCTCAAATTGTTTTTAAGCTATTTCACATTTTACTAATAAGTACAATATGCTTTTCCACAACAAGCCACATTTAGGCACTTCTGCAGAGGTTACATGATTGCTCAGGTAGCTCAGAAAGCAAAGAATTTATGAATCCTGCTGCGTTTTAAGGGCGAATGTTTCCCAGTTACTTGTCACATGGTGGAAAACAAGCTAAAATCTCTCCTACTTCTTGTTTCAAATTATTTCTAATTTTGGAGGCCACAAATAATATAGCACACTTACTTTAACCGCCTAGATTTCAGATTGTTTCCACTAGCTATGTTGCTAGTAGAACAAACCATGCTTTTTAAGGAGCTGAATTTTCTTTATATTTGAAGTGTATAATAAAGAAATATTCAGCAGTTCTATTTTGGGAAGTTTTGGTGCTTTAGAATGAAAACTGTTAATACCGCGTGTATTGGAAAATTCTCACTGTTGCATCTGTGGTTTTATCAAAACCTGTTCAATTATTTGAGTGCAGAAATAAGGAAGAGTGGTTTTTATTATTAATTGACACTCATTTTTAGCTGGCATGTGGTGGCAGGTCCTCTAAACAAACACGAGACACAGATTAGAGCTGAAAGTTTTGGAAGTGTTCTAAATCTTTGTAGTATTGCAGGAAGGAAGTGTAATATTAAACTGACAAATTGAATATATCTATTTTTTCAATGTAATTCACAGTTTCTTCCTATTATTTTTTACTACCTGTGGAGATAAAGCAAAACAAATTTCCCAAAACAGAGAGAAATATATTTCCAGATACCTTTTCCCACTAAGTAATATATCTCTCTCATACATATGTACTGTCAAATATCTATCCATTCCTTTTTCTACGCTGTGTCTACAGCCAGAAGTGTTGGCTATGCAAATATTGCAGAACCGACTCTCACCATATGTGCTGTGTGCCTGGCTATAGATACTCAGGAAACTCTATATAATAATTAGAGCCTGCATATATTATCTTGTAATTATAATTTTACGTAAGCTGTTATATAATCTTAAGGCTGGTATGTGATGAAAAAAATGTGGTTATGTCAGAATTCTTAGGAAGAAAAAATAAAATTATTGCTGGTAAACGTAAGTAAATGTCCTGGCAGTGGAGGGAGCACGCAAGGCTATTTAAGCACAGAGTATATCTCAACGAGAATAGTCAGGCTGGCTGTTATTAAAAATCGTAACTCGCCCCCTCGGAGCGAAGAGGAAGGGCCGGGCACCATCGCCTCTGCTCCAGCTCCCCGCTCCGGAGGGGGCGCCGGGGGAGCCCGCAGCGCTCCGCCGCTCTGGCCCCGCAGCCCGGCGGGGGCTGGCTCCCTAAACACCCTCCCCCCAGCTGAAAAGTAATCGTCCTGGTAGTGGGCAGCCGAGCGCCTCAGGTCGGCGGGGAGCAGGGGCGACCCCGCCGCCCCCCCCCTGCCGGCAGGCAAAGCCCCGCAGCCAGTGAAGTTGGGGGCGGGCGAGGGGAGGGGGGCTCATCCCCTCCGCAGCGCCCCGGGCAGCCGGGCAAAGTCGCCGGCGGGGGTGCTTGGGCGGGGGGATGTGTGCTTCCACTTAAGGGACTGGGGGAGCGGGGAGCCGAGCGCGGGGGAGAGGAGAGGAAAATGAAGCGGAACTAGGAAGATGACAAAGTGGCGAGCGCTGATTTATTGCAGGAGCCTCTGCTCGTTTCCAGCTATTGAAAGGAGTCCGAGCGGCCCCGGCCCCCGCCCGGAGAGGAGCGGGGCTCGGGCCGGCCGCAGCCGCGGCCCGAGGGGTCGGCGGGGCTCGGGTGCGCTGCGAGCCGCCGAGCTGGGCTGAGCCTGCCCTGCGCCTGGCTTCGGCGGCACCCGACCGGGGGCTAAAACAACAGCGGCATCGAAACAGATTCTAGCGGGGCTGCTGCTACCGCCGGAACGGGGCGGGGGGGGAAAGATAACCACCGTAAAAAAAACACAAACCCAAACGTGCAGGGAAAACAACCGAGTGAGCTGCAAATAAAGGAATAAAAAAAAAAAAAAGTGAAGTATATTAGATGAAATCGCCAGGCATTCCTTCCCAATAAACAGCAAGCTTTATAATTTCCAGGTGTTGGGGAAAGCCGTTGTCTTATAGTTTATAAATCCCTGCTGGGGGGAGGGAGGGGGAGAACCTTTGGAGGTGAATGAAATATCAAATCACGAGGCTCTATGTAGATTTATGATTGCATAAGAGGCTCGATCATTTCCATATATTGAAATGTGCTGTCCTTTCCACAACTGTCCAGCCCTTGGAGGAAGAGAGACGCTCGATTCCGCCTTGATCAATGCTGACTGTGAAGCAAGGAGGAGGAGAAGGGGGGGACCAGGCTGGCACCAGATGGAGCAGGGTCTAGGGAAAGGTCAAGGTTAGCTCAGGCTGCTATTGAATCGGTTGCAGCCTCACAGATAGATCTCTGCCTCGGAGGCACCCACTGGGGCTTCTCAGAATCAAATCTAATAGAAAAGGCAGTCACAGAATGAAATCGCTTCATCTGAATGCTAAAATTGTTATTAGGCTACATTAGAGAGATACCAGGCACGTGATTACCAAAAAAGGAAGCATGCCTAGCAGTTTGCAACTGAAATAAAAGCTGTGAATATGTTGATACCATCGGCAATGTGCAAGGATAATAGATAACAGGAGAGAGGGGCAGAGAGAGATGTGCGTGCGCGTAACGAACAGATTAACATATTGATGGTACGTATATGTCTATCTAAAATTATTTGTATATGCGTCTGTCTGGGGGTATATTTGTATGTACACAGATCGCAGCACTTGACTTCTTGTGAGTCCTGCAGCACCCATCGTCCTCAGCGCTCCGAGGACGTTTGTGAATTGATTTGGATTGCAGCTACGGATCAAGAAGTGGGAGCCGACTTGTTGGTGGGTCCTGGCAGGACTCTGCCTGCAGCCACCCTTGACTTGCATTGCAGTGGTGTGCCGTCACTTGGCATTTTTGATTTTAAGTCCTCACAGAGGCACAGAGCTGAGGCGTCGTTCAAGGCCTCTCTTTTTCCTTCTTGTCTCGGGCAAAACTCTCTCTGTGTGAAATGTCATGAGGCGCATACACATGTGCACACACCCCACGCGCTGGACACAGGAGCGTGACGCAAGCGCACACATATGTGTTTGGAGCAGTGATGCTGTCAGCTGGCTTTCAGAGATCAAAGTGAGCTCTTCCCAGTTACCATCTCCTCCACATTAATGATTCTTTAACCTACAGCACAGCTGTATCTTAAGGAAGGATTTAGTCATGTAAAATAAATGCCGGCTACACTAGATTAAACATGATGACTGCACTCTAAGGGTTAATAAATTTAGAATTAACAGATCATCCCAGCTTGATACAGCTACTATAGATGATTTAATATGCAGCCTAAGCAGGTTGACAGTCAGCTCACAGATGCAGATAAGATCAAACAGTCTCTTGATTCAATAGATTGAATGGTTGTACTGAGTGTCTGGAAGGTGAGTGACAGTACGTATATGGCAGGGGTTCTGGTAAAGAAGGGCTTCGATTCCCCACTGCTGTGCACTGCACTGGTTTTCTTTTTCTAGCAGTCAACCTTTTCCAGCAATCAAACCTGGAGTTAACATGAAAAAAAAAAGTCTCAAATATAGTTCAGGAGAGTTATTTGAAGTTTTCAGTAATGACAAGCTCTGTGCTTTAATAGTAATCACCATTACTGTCACCAGCCTGCACTTCAGGTTCCTTCTGCGCGGACAAGGCCATCGCCACCCACTCTGTCCCACAGGGAGTCTCATCTGTCCACAGGCTCTGTCTGTCCATGCTAGTCCCCTTCCCTGGCAGACCTAAATCCACAGAAAGGAGGTATTTTGGAGGCAGAACGGTGACATGTTGTCCAAGTCAGCCCCTGGGGCTTGGTGAGTGCAACCTTGTCCTAACGTGATCCGTGATCCACTGTCTAGAGGCTTCAGCCGTAGGAAACCTTGATAGTACAGAGTGACAAAGACAATTCCCCTGCTTTCTTTCTCAGCTCTCTTGCCTTTCTGGCTTAAAAGTTAATGCCTGTAGTAACTCTTCTGTGGTTTATGTTTTCCTTCTTGCTCTCCTGTCCTATTTAAATGGGAATGTAAAACAGTTCTCGTGGAGGCTGGTGAGCAATGAGATGACAGAGTGGTCTCTAACAATTTTTATTATTTGATCAAGAGTAAAAGCTCCGCCTGAACCATTAGATTTTACCGTATGAATACGTTTCCAGGCAATTTAAAAATGCATATTATGTATTCAATAGACCGTCACAGGTCTGAATTGTATCTTATTGTGTTATATGAGGCCACCACTATACTGATATGAATATTTGCGTCAGTTATGGCACATCTGAATGCTTATAAATTAGCTGTATTCATGATTTTGGGGGGGTTTGTTTGTTTGTTTTTTTATACTCAGATGCCCAGTCCATGGTTTTGATGAATGCCCCACAAACTGTTGGTGCAATAAGCAATGCTGCTTTGACTTTAACAGCAGAGCAAACCCAGAATCCACACAAGATTGCTTTTTGTCTTTGTGATTTTTTTTAAATGTTCTCATGTACTTTTGTAAACGTTTAACCATGAATTATACTTTAATTTGGAAACCAGTGGTTCCTTTTAATCCCTCAAATGCCGAGTTAGAAAAGAGAGGACCTTAGCATGTGTTTCAGACTACCGATCCATACGTGAGTGTCCCCAGATTTTCCTAAGTAGGTCTGCAACACCGCACCGCGACGAGCCGGTCCTTTGCCCCCCCTGTGCCTGGGAGCACCTCTCAGGTGAGCTGATGTAGACACAAAAATCTTGACCTTGTAATTAGAAAGAAGCAGTATCAAAGTGCCAGTCCTTCTGAGGGCGAACGAAGAGGACTCAAATACCCCTTGCGAGCGAAATGAAGTAGCAATGCCCGCAAACACAGGCAGAAAAGGCCGTGGGAGCGAGCGTGAACGCAGGCAGGAGTTAGAGAACGAGTGGGAATCCGAGGAGCGCTTTCCTCGCTGCGCGGATCCCCCCCCGCGGCGGCGATGCCGCTTCCCAAGGCGGAACCAGCGAAACCAGTTATCTGGCAGCAATTTGCATATTTATGGTGCCTCCTGCCGTTCTCCGTGATTGCTTTACAGGCAGGAAAGGTAACAGAAAAATATATAACCCTCTTTAAAAAAATGGCAAAAAGGCTCATACGTGCACAGGGGCTCTGATAGAAGAGTAAACCTTGTAAAGCCCGTGGCAGGGCATTTGTTTACCAAACAGGTTTTTGTTTTAGGATTTGAAAGCAGTTGTGTTTTTTTTTTTTTTTTTTAAGTTCCGAGGCTGAAGATGCAAGGTCCGTGCTTCTGTGCAAACTGCTAGAGACACACACTGATCATTTCGGGGAAAAATAATTAGCCTTGTCATATTCGCTGAATGTATACATCTAAGGAAGAGGCAATCCTTAGAGAATGGGAAAAGCATTCAATAGACACTTTAAAAGTATAGTGTCATGGTACATATATTTTTTAGTCCTACTCATAAGCAATGTACAAATGTGCAGTACGGCTTTGAATATAAAAGCTAATTAGGTCTCAATAGAGAATAGTTTCATTTTTATTGGTTTCAAGTACAACGGCTGTCTAAGATACACCTCGGCTCCCAGACACTTTTGGCCTGCCTTGTAGGAACAGCTGTGGCTGTGTCCCCATACATCCCTATATGTTCAGATGCCTTCAGTTCGGGGTAGCACAAACCAGGGTGTCAGCCAGTCTGTAGCTCACCTTTCTGCTGTGCTGAGGAGCCCTGCAGAGCTGTTCAGGACGAGCAGATAGCTGGGGACCGCACCACATCACTCCAGCCACATCTAGACCAAACTTCTCCCTGCTCTCCCGGTGGGGAATAGCACTTAAAGACTGATGCTATCATATGGCCTGTATTTACCCTACGTTTATCTATAGTGCCTATCACCATAACGTCTGAGGGGGGTTTATTCCAGCGTAGATACTCTATGGATCCCTCTCCCTGTGTTTACATCTATTTTTCTCTCTCTGTGCACTCAGATGCTGTGAAACTTAATATGATAGGGCAAATTAAAGTCTAAATTGTAAATACATTAATTTCAGTATGGTAATATCAAACATTGTACGTATTTCTGATTTCTGTATTTAATTTCCCTGGCTTTCTTTTTTTTTAATGCTGGGGAATAGTTGCTCACTGAACAATAGCATTAGTACAATAACTCCCCCCAACCCCAGCATTCATACTTAATGCACATCAGCTTTCTATGTAATACTATACAATATACTTGCATGTTACTTTAATTGAATGAAATCTTATTCATACTGGTGGTAGAAGGCATTCTTTTCACTGCAGTCAGAATTCATACCGTACTGTAAAAATTATATGTGCTGACAATAACAAATGGTGGCAAAACTATCCAAACAGCTCAAAGAAGTGGCCTCTTATCACAGGTTATTCACCACCACTCCGGCTACTCTTAGCACTGCATCTTTCCATGCAGCTTTGGGCTATATAATAATATATTCTTCTTTCTACAGAGAGGTGCATTAAAATATTATTGTAAGCATTCTAACAATTAAGCTGAAATTTTTCATGGAATAAAAATGGCAAAGAAGAAAATCCACAGTAAAGCTGCCCTTATTTTTAAATGCAGAAACAGATCTCTGGTATCTCAACAATTATTTCTTTTTCATCTATACCCTCACACAAACTATGTCCTGTTCCGCAAAGCATGTGCATTTCTTCTTTGCTAAAGCTAAAAGCTAAACCTGAATGTCATCTGAAATAGTAATACAAATCGAACACAGAGAATGATGATCGTATATGTTAAATTTCAGTTCAATGCCTTCTAAGTGGCTAAAAGTTGAAGCTCTAAAAAGCAATGTGATAGAAGTTATTTACAAAAGATGTTAAGGCGCCAATCTAACAGCATGCTTGAGTACATGCCTACTTTAAGCATCTAAGTACAGCTGATGTGCCCAAAGATAACTATGTGCTTAAGAATTTCACAGTCCCCAAGGCCAAGTAGATTCCTCTGGTAGGGGATATAGTGAGCAGAGTTAGAGGAAGAAAATCCTTTTTTATTGCGCTGTTCTTCTCTATTGTCCCTCATTCCAAGAGTGCGAGGAAGAAGAAGGGACTGTGTTCCGCAGCATACAAGAAAACAACTAAATCTTTCCTCATCCTGTGTAGCAAAACTCATTTCTCAATGGAAAGAACTTCTTTTTGACTCCTGATATTGGGTTTCTCAGATTAGTGATTTTTTTTTTTTAATTGATTTGAGGTATAGTTAGATTTATTCTTCAAGACAAAACGTTTGCAACTTTTCTTTTTCCTGCCTGCTACATCCAGTGGGGCTTCACAGATTTCCTCATAGGCCGAGTTTGAGCCCCTTGGATCTAATCTTGCACGGAAGTGTGAAAAGCTTCTCCTTATGATCCTTAGAAGATCTTGTTCATAAATATCTGCTGTGCTGAAAGATCAGTAGTTGCCCTACATATTTTATTTGGTCAGGATCAGACCAAGTCTGGCCAGCTCTCCTGCCCTTCTTCACTGGTGACCAGATGCTTTGGAGATAAAGTGGGACTGTGCCGTTGTTGGACACACTGCTATTTTAAACCACTTGTTACACGCTGTAGAGTTTGCCTGTGCAGGGCTGGGAGCCTGGCTTAGCCTTTTCTAGCTGTGCAGCTTGCTCATCCCCGTGGAGTTCAGCTGCTTCTGTGCTGGTGGGTGCTATCTCCCTGCGGCCTGAACTGGCTGTAACTGTTTACCTTGTCCTAGCTAGGGATCTTCCCAAACTCAGCAGCTAAAGTCAGAAAATTAATCAAAAAAAGATGTTTATGTCAGTCACCTGTCTTCCTACTGCTCGAAGGCTTGAAGATATTGACCTGCTTAGGTAAATGACTTGAGATCTCAGCAATGACTCAAAAGGACCAACTTCTCTGTGCTTGTGTCATCATCAGTTTCTGTGAGGCCAGATAGAGTAGCCCTGATGAATGGGCGTTTTGGATGCGTGGAATATCTTGCTGAGAAGAGTCTGGCTTCTCATAGTGCTTTGTTTCAGACTGACCTGCACACAATAAACCTGCGCTGAGAGAGCCCCATGCTGCAGCCTGGCTTGGTCAAAACTCTTCCTGAAACCAAGGGAGATGCCGCTCATGAGTTCAGGCGTGCAGCATGGTGTCCCTGCTCTGTGACTGCTTGGTGAGGTGGGCATGGAAATCTTGTGGGGTCTGGCTTTGTGAGAGCAATCTGTTTGTTCATAGCCTGTGGCTCATCTTTCTAGCTCTGGGCTTGTCATCATTTTCTGTTAGGGTCAAGGAAAATTCCAAGTCCGCATCTTAACCAACCTTGCACACTCCGGTCTAGCATGATTTGAAGTGATAAAAAACATCTCTGACAAACAGAAGTTTAAAACTAGTGAAAAGTATTACGGAGGGCAATTCTCAGTCAAATCCTTTGTAACACAAAGAGACACTTAATCTTACGCTCACTTTTGAAGTGATGCCAACACATGTGTGGGTCTCACTTCCACACAGTTTTGGAGGAAGAAAAAGCCTAAAAGGTGAAAAGATTCCAAGAAACTGTTAGTAAAGACAACAGTGACCAACGCTCTGCCAGATCTTTTCCTGTCCCTAGCTATTCTTGCTTCATCTATAGGTAATCGAGTTGACTTTTGCATTGTACTGTAACGTGCCAGAACTGTATTTTGGATTGCGAGTTCAGTGAGCGCCTTCCTTTCCCGGCATGATGGTTGGTATAAAGGGGCCTGCAAGATATGCAACTGGCAGCATACCGTGATGC